CGCGCCCTGCCCTGGCCCTCGAGAATGTCGCTGGGAAGATGTCGTGGGAGCGGCTCTGGCAGACCCCTCTGCCGCAGCGACCCGTGGAAGCCCAGCAGACCCCGGGGGGCTTGGCTGCAGCTTCTTGTTCCCGTCGCTTTGAATAACCATCCCGGCCCGTCTGGCTGCCGGGCGGTGACCTTCTCCCCAGCAAAATGTAACGGCGCTGCTCCCAGAAACACAATAAATAAATCTGTCTGTCCCCCGCCGTCACTCCTGTCCCTGCTCGCCGCTCGGGGCAGCGATTTGCTCACCTGCCTGGCTGAGCCGGAGCCGGTTTTTAAAGGTCACCGTGGCTGTTGCTGCAGCCGCGATGTTCCCTCCTGCCTCCGCATCCCCGCGCCGCTGCCACACCGTGACCGGTCCCCCCAGAGCCGGAGGGAGCTCCACGAGCAGCTCCCCCCGCCCCAGTCACGGGTGGGACGGGCCCCCACGATGTCCTGGGGGTGCCTCGGGGTGCCCCCCGCCCTCCTCGCTGCTGCCCCACACGTCTGGCCGGGTGTCCCCAAATCAGGGCAGTTTTAAACCCGCGGCTCCCTCGCTTGGACGGAGCGCGGGGGCCGTTCCTGACACAGAGGGAGGGCGCTGGTCCCCCAACCCCGTCCGAGGAGGAGCAGGGGCGTCGCTGGGACCTTCCACAGCCCGTCCCGAGCAGCGGGAACAGCAGCAGGAGCTGCGGCGATGGAGGCAGAGCGGGGTGCCATCGGGGCGCTTTGCCCTCATTGCCATCCCTTTCCTTCTCTACCCCTCCCTTGCATTTCTTTGCCTTCCCCACCTCTCCCATACCTCGCCTCTCCTTTCCTACCTCTCCGTTGCCCCCTGGGCCTGTGGGAGCTCCCCCAAGGGTTCGGCTGGACCCCCTGGATAGTATTTTTATTTTATTCTATTTTTTTATTCTATTACTAGATACGTGATACTTATTTAAATAAAGGTTGTAGGCCTGGGGTTGAAACACCGACTGTGGGGCTGGAGTGGGGGATATAAAGGCCCTGGGGCTGGAATGGGCTCTCTGGGACTGGAGCCAGATCCAAACCCACGTGGAGCTGACATGGAAATGCTGGGGCTGGAGCTGAAATAAATCCCGTGGGGAAGAGGAGGGAGTTGTAGGTTGGGAGCTACAGGAGCTGCCTGGGGGGTTCCAGCCCCCACAGTGGTACCAGGGAGCTCAGGGCTGACCCTGGGGCTCTGAACCAGCACTAGGGCACCTTTAGGATGCCGTGCTCAGCAACACAGAATATGAGGCCATATAGTGACTTCAGACCCTGTCCAGTTTGCTGTCTGCAAACACTTAAACATGAGGAAGTGTTGGTGATAATCTGTGTTTGAACATCACAATAAGGCAAACGGAGCTTCCTCTTCATAAACTGCCAAATATAAGCATATTGTATAGCCATAAACCTAGAGAATTACCAAAATTAAAATTATATAATGTCCTTATTAAAATACTAAAAACACCAGGCACTAATTCTTACCTGGTTTAAATGAAGACAAATGATATTTCTGTAGTTGAAGTTTGATGTTGATGCAATATTTTGCCCCAAAATAATTTATATTAGGTACATAAGGCTTAAATGTCTCCTTGTGATCCTTTTTAGTACATACCTCAAGTCTTTACTCATCATAATTATTAGGTGGTGGAACTAATTAAAAAGAGAGCAGTACTGCCACAGTGGAGGTCATTTAGACTTTGGTTTAAAGCAGTAAAAATATGCTTAGAACTCCTGGATGTAATTTTGCATCACTAGCAGGAATCCTGTAAATTAACAAAGGGAAACAGCCCATTTGTGCTGGTGATTTAGGGGTGGAAGAGTTGCAAAGTTCTAACTAATTCCTGCACTAATGATGCTAGTGCAGCTCTTTGGTGACCTGAGGGTGCTGGTTTCTGGGAAATTTCAGAACTATCTCCAAGAAATTAGATGAAGACAAGAGCAGCATTTACTATGATGAATACTCAGAATTTTAGCTGTTCATTCAAAAATCATATCAATTATTCGTGCTCCGGAGTGTGTGTGCTTCAAATTGTCAGGGAATTGATTTCCTCCACCCCCAGGCTTTCTGAGATGAGTTAGTAGTGGGCGACAGGAAGATTTAAATGTATTATCTGAGTGTGTATGAAGTCACTTGAGAAACTGAAACTATGGACGTTCTGCAGCCTCTGTTATGAGAGGGGTGTGAAATTATTGGAGGATATTTGATAATTACTGAATCTGGGCTGCACAGTGTGATCTTGGTTTTTCAATAGCTGGGAGGAAAGTGAGGGGAAAGTAGAATCACCATGTAATATTTCACTTGATTTTTTTTTTTATGAAGGGTTTTCATAAGCTGAAAATTATTGATCAGTCACAATAGAAACCTCCTTCTCTGGTGTGAATGAAGACTTGCATCAGAAAAGTTACATGATGGAAGGTGAATTTTTTTTTTGAATTTTTTTTGGTCCTTTGCTTCAGGAGCAGCACAGAGAGAAACCTTGTGGATTTATCCCCTGCAAGTCTTCCATATACAAAAAAAAAAATCTGAATAGGAGTCAAGTTATTTGTTTTGTTATTTTAGGTAAAACTGAGCAGGACCTGCTGAGATCTGAATCTGATTCCAGCTATGGAGTGTTTTCATGAGGTGTGATGAGCCTGGTTAGGGGTCTTTCTTTTGATTTGCAGTTTACAAAATTGAGAACCCAGGCTGCTCCAAGGGAGCTGAGTTGGTTTTTCTCCTTTTGAGCAAAGTGTCAGAAGGCCTGAAAGATCCCCCTTGTATTGTGAAGAGATATAGCTAATTATTGCCCTAGGAAGGTAAAATTCAAACCAAGAAGAAATATTATGCCCCTTCTCACAGATTTCATTATTCAGGCCAGAAGAAGAGAGTCCTGGTCTCCAGCCCAGCATCAAAAATTACACCTGCCACTGTATTTCTCCTTCAAGCTCAAACCAAGTGAAACCAAATCCAGATCTCTCACTCTTCAGGGCCAACACCAGAAAATTATGAGAGGTGTAGAATTACAAGATGTCTCATGCCTTTCCATGCGGAGTATAAGGAGTATAAGCCTTCTTTATCCTTATCCTTGCACTTTCCTTATCCTTATCCTCTTATGAACCACTAAAAAGCTGCCCCACTGTCTCCCAGGCAGCTCTGACCAAGGAGTGCAGCTGCACAGAAGAAACATGATTTAATGAGGGTCTAGGAACAGACTGCAGTGCTGAAACAAGCTGCCAAGGCAGGCAAGAATATCTACCACTGCCTACACACCACCAAAACCTTTCCTCTCCTCTCTGTTTTCCCGTGCTTGTCCCTCCTCTAGTCCCTCCCTTTCCCTCTCCTACGTCTGTTCCCCTAAACATCCCATATGACGTCTCAAACAATCCCTGGGTTCTGCTCTGCACCATCCCCACATTCTCCTCCCTCTCTGTAAGTCTCATATCTCATTGCACTATCACTGCCCTGAAGATTCATGACATGTCCAGGATAAAATTGCCTTCAGTACATCACCTTGGTGGGCTTGGATGAGCAGGAAGAGGAGTGGGAACAGTCTGTGTTGGGGTTGTTGCCTCTTGTGTGATCAGTCGAGTGCAGTTTTTGGAAGTGAAATGTGTGTTGAACTAAGGACAAGGGCACACGTTCAGCACAGTGTTACGAGTCACCATAAGCTTGTTCGTCATAGGTCAGACATCACTCCTGGGAAATAGAAAAAAAACAAAACAAAACAAAACAAAAACAAAACAAAAAAGGCAGCATCACTTGGCCTGGGCAAAGCAGGGGTCAAAGTAAGACCTGTGACCCCTCAGACATGTCTGAACTCAGGGAGACATGAGCCTCCCTTGCTCCTGCCGTGTTGGGGTGGGTGGGGTTGGGCAAATAATGTCCCAAGGACACAGTGCTAAAATGGGGTCTTAGAAATCTGACTAACTCTGGACAGATGCAGAAGGAAAATCCTGTAGCCAAAAAAACCCAGCTGCCAACAGAAGAGACAGATGTTATTGTGGAGAGCTACAAAGCTGGATTATGGAGCTGGTGCCAGTGGATGTGAGCAAGGTTAAAATGCCTGTAGGAGAGGAGGGTGTCTCACAAAATCAGGGATGGGGTAGCCCCTGAAGGGCATGAATGAGGCCAAGCAAAGAGGCAACACCTCACTGGAAGAGAGGGAACAAGCATGGAAAATTCATTTCACACTTCTAAAACTGCAAAATCTGTGGATGAACGTGTGTGGAAGGGATCAGGGCAGCTGAGGTGGCCTGGGAGGCTCAAGGACATGAGATGTATGCAGGACTACAAACCTGGCTCTGAGGAAGGAAAGATTAAGAGGCCACGATGGACTTGACTGGACCAGCCACAAAGAGCAATCCATCTTGGAATATTTCATCAGGGACCTGTAGCTTGGAAGGACTTTGCCCCTAGCAGCACATGAAGGGGTCTGTGGGGGAACTGGGGTGTACAATGAATGTCTCCAGAGTTTCTGTCCCTGGGACTGAACATTATCCAGGATTGTCTGCTCAGGGTAGCTTGGAAAAAAGTCTCAAAATGGAGATGCAAATCTCTTGGCCCCTGGTGAGAAGGGGGAGGTGACCAGCATGGATATTTGGGTGCCTTCAGCACTGAGTGCTGGAGGCTGAGCACAGGTGGAGGGGAATGGGCAGACCTGGGCATGCAGAGAGGGGAAAAAACGTGGGATAGGAGTCAGTGGAATGAAGGTGATCTGTGGGGTCAGGGAGAGGAATGGAGGAACCCTAAGAGTGGGTGGAGGGGAACGGGACAAACATGAGGGCACAAGGGGTTGACCTGGCCCTGCTGCCGCACTCAGGAACCTCCTTTCCAGCTCCAAAAGCCCCTTCTCTCCCCAGCGTCTCTTTTTCTGCCTCGACACACCCCAAGGGCCCCGGACACGCCCGCACCTTCCCCAGCTCGCCCGGGCGAACCCCCCGCGCCCCCTCCCCCGTCTCTTTCTCCATCCCCCGCCCCGGTCCCGCCCCGGTCCCGCCTCTGCCGCCGCAGCCGCCGCGGGTCCGGGCCTGGGCAGGCGGCGGCGGGGCCATGCTGGGCAAGGACTACATGCTGGCCATCGTCCTGGTCAACTGCGACGGTCAGCGCGGGGCAGGGCGGGCACGGGCGGGGGCACAGCCCGCGGGACCAGCCCTGGGGCCGCGGAGCAGCTGGGGGACCGCGCTGCGGGATCGATGCCGGCTTGCGGGGCCGGCGCTGAGTTGCGGGGCCGGGCTGGGGGTTTCGGGGCCGGGGCCGGGTGGGCCCCGCGGGTCGGAGCGGCGGCCGCGCCCGGCGCTGTCCGCGGTGCTGATCGGGGCCCGCCCGGCCCCGCCAAGGTCGCGGGAACCCCCCCACCCCATCCCCTGGGCACCTCCGCCCCCCTGCACCCCTCCCATCCTCCTCCCCGGAGCACCCCCGCCCTCCCATCCCCCGGGACCTCCCATCCCCCGGGACTGCCCTTCCCCCGTGCCCCCCCATCCCCCGGGACCCCCGGCCGGTCGGGACGCGCCTCCCCCGCGGGCCCGGGCTCGCTCCGGCCGAGCTGCGCCACGGGATCGTGTCCGTGCCCGCGCAGGGCACGGGGGGAGGCGGCTGCAGCCCCCGGGGCACCACCCTCTGCCCGCACCCCGGGGTCTGTGCCGGCCCTTTCCCGGGCTGGGCTGGCGGCCGCGGGCCCTGCCTCGAAGCCCCGCAGGATGTCCGGCCCGGCAGGCCCGGAATGCCCCGCCGGGGTCCCGCTGTCCCCGCACGTCAGCCAGGCAGGTCCCCGCAGCGGGGTGTGCCAGCACCGCAGCCTGGCTGGCGCCGTGCCATGTTCCCTCGCCACGCTCCTCTCCCGGGCCGTGAGCCCAGCCACGCACCCAGGGGACACCGTAGGACCCTTTCGCTGCTGGGTAAAACATCCCGCAGCTGGGGTACCTTCCCTCCCCACTCCCTGCCTCACACGCTCTGGCTGTCTCTGCACAGACAATCTCTGGAGCGACCAGAGCCTGGAGACAGACCCCGACCTCCCCCCAGGCTGGAGGAAAATCTGTGACTCTCTGGGCACCTACTACTGGCATGTGCCAACGGGCACGACGCAATGGCAGCACCCTGCACGCACCACCAGCCCAGGAGGGCACCCGGAGGCTGATGGAGAGGAGACACTACAGGGAAGGGTAGGGGATGTGGGTAAAGGGGGTGGTGGCTGGTGTTGGATCCCACCCCTGGCAGGAGCCTTTTGGGCCAGCCTCTCCTTGGATCAAGCCTGTCTCTGTCACCCCAAAGTCTTGCTCAGCCCATTCCTGGCCAGGGTTAGGCCCCCTGAAAAGCTCCATCTGGCCCCATGTTAGTTTTGGCCTCATCCTGGCCCCGCAGGATGCTCACAGGCCTGTTGCTGTCCTGGGAGGGAGGGCTCCTACCTGGTGCCTCCTGACAGCCTGTCTTGTTGCCCTCCCTTTCCTCTTGTCTCCCAGGAATGCCAGGCCCCCGGAGCGAAGCACTCGGCAAAGGACAGGCCCATTCCCAGCCCCATGGCTTCACTGACCCGGAGGTAGGGCTACCCTGGTGCTGTGCCAGCTTGGTTATGGGGCACGACTGATCCTTCACTACCACTGGGTGCTCTCAGAGCAGCCCCCCATGCTGGAACCCATGGGATGCTTCCCAGCTGGTGGCATGGGGGTGCCAGGGCATTCCTGGCACTTCCCTGGGTGCCCCAGGGACCACGCAGAGGGAGATGCCACTCACTGCCCCGTCCCTCTGCAGGCCCTCATTGTCCTGGCATGGAGAGGACATCCAGCACAGCGCAGAGCCCGGCTCCAAGGTACCGCATCCCGCCGGCTCCGCTGCCGCATCGTGGGCAGGGGCTGGCAGGAGAGGAGGCGGGTGGCAGCTGGCAGGGACGTGGATGGGTGGGAGCCAGAGCAGGGGTGACCCTGCTGGCACAGTGAGGGGCGCGGGGCGGAGGGGGCTGTGCCAGCAGGCACTGGAGCCCCAGCGTGTCTCGCTCAGTGCTTCGCTGTGCGCTCGCTGGGCTGGGTGGAGATCCCCGAGGAGGACCTGGCACCGGGCAAGAGCAGCATCGCCGTCAACAACTGCATCCAGCAGCTCTCCAACAGCAAGGGCCAGGGCTCCGCGGAGAACCGGGGTGAGGTGAGAGCCTGGGACGGGGCTGCCAGGCAGGGTCCCACTCCAGGGCTGCCACTGCTGAGGCTGGATTGTGCTGGGGGGAGCAGGGACCAGTGCCAGTGGCAGAATCTACCCTCCACCCAGGGTATCCATGTGATGGTTCCAGGTGTGGGGCAGGTAGGTCTGACAGGGCTGTTTCTTGGGGACAGTGCCAGGAGTGCCTGGTGGGTCCCCACACATGGGAATTGTACCTGGGAAGGGCAAGGGTGGTAATCAGGGCTGTTCCCACACTTGGGGCTGAGTAGGCTGGGAGGACAGGAGTGTCCCTACACGTGGACTGGGTTCTGGGCAAGCCCAGGCTGTCTGCCAGGCTGAGGGAGCTGCTGCCCCTCCGCAGGGCCAGGACCTGGTGATGATCCTGAAGAAGGACACCATGAGCCTGGTGGACCCCCTCGACCGCAGCCTCATCCACCGCCAGCCCATCCTCAACATCCGTGTCTGGGGCGTTGGCTGCAACAATGGCAGGTGCTGGGGCCAGGGCAGAGCTGGGGGCTGAGGGGTGGCTCTGCCCGCTTGGGGGGAAGGCACCCCAGCAGTGACCTGTCCCCTCTCCTCCCTCTTCGACTGCCACCGTGGCTGCAGGGACAGGTAAGTGGGCACAGGGCTGGGGGGCAGTGCAGGGAAGGGGCTCTGTCAGGGTCTCACAGGCTTGCTCATGGCCTTGCAGAGACTTTGCCTTTGTGGCCAGTGACAAGGACACCTGCGTCCTCAAGTGTCATGTCTTCCACTGCAACGTGCCCGCCAAGGGCATCGCCAAGGCCCTGCATGAAATGTGCTCCAAGGTGGGATTCACAGAGGCCTCGCTGGGTGTGAGCGCAGCCCAGGAGTCTTGGAGGTGAGGGAAGGCACCGGGACCCCCATCTGTTGCAGATCGTGGCTGAGCGAGCCGTGGCCAGCAGCCGCCTGCCCCGCGCTGCCACGCTGGAGCCCATCTCTACCGAGGACCTGCCACTGCAAGGTACCGTCCCCCAGTGCTCCCCCTGCCCACAGCCTGCCCTCGGGCAGCGGGGGTGTCCAGCAGCCAGAGCCCGGGGTCCTGGGGGATGGGGGAACACAGGGGTACCCCCACCTCTCCCGTGCTGGCAGTGGACATCCTGGAGGCGGTGAGGCAGTCGATGCAGACCTACGAGGCGCTGTATATCGGCAGCCTGCCCGTGCCCAGGGCCATGGGTAAGCGCCGCTGCCCCCCGCCCCCGCAGCTGGGGAACGGCCAGCAAAGCCCCTCCGTGCTCCGCGGGGCGGCCGAGCAGCCGCGTCCCACCGGGGCCGGTGGGATGGGGTGGGACGGGGTGTCCCGCTCCGCAGGGATGGACGTGTTGAACGAGGCCATCGAGACGCTGACGAGGCGCCCCGGGCGGGAGAGCTGGACGCCCTCCCTCATCTACGTGTCGGACACGGCCATGAGGGTTCAGTCGGCGCAGGTTGGAGGGCACGGGGGGCTGCGGCCGGGGTGCCCCCGGCGGGGCGGGCCCGGGGGGCGGCCAAGGCTGGACGAGCCCGCGGGGTGCCCGCAGGAGCCCGAGGAGGCGGCGAACATCTGGGAGTGCCAGGTGCGGTACGTGACCTTCCTGGGGGTGGGCCGGGACGCGCACACCTTCGCGCTCATCGTGGACACGGGGCGACGCTTCCAGTGCGCGGCCTTCTGGTGCGAGCCCGACGCCGGCACCATCTCGGAGGCGGTGCAGGCCGCCTGCATGGTGAGCCCCGGGCGGCGGGCGGGGGCGGCCCCGGTGCGGAGCCCCCCGCGCTGCCCGCCGTGTCCCCCCGCAGGTGCAGTACCAGAAGTGCCTCGTGGCCGCCGCGCCGGGGGCGAAGGCGAAGAGCGGGCCGGGCCGGGGCCGGGCCGGGGCGGCGGCCGCGGGGGACGGAGCCCGAGGGGCGGCCAAGATGGGGGGGGGCGGCGGGGGGGCGGGTGCCGGGGCCCGCAAGAGGGGCCTCTTCTCCTTCCTGGAGGTTTTCCGCCTCCGGCGGACCCTCCTGCACAGCCCGTAGCGGGCCGGGCCGGGGCCGGGGCCGGGGCTGGAGCCGCCGGGTGGGAGCCCCGACCCCGGCACCGACCCCGGTCCCGGCCCGGCGGGGCGGGGACTCGCCCGGCCCCTCCCGCCCCGCCCTCCCCCGGCAGGCGGAAGGGGCCGGCCCGGCCGTGACGTGGCGGGATGGCGGAGCCCTACGTGAGACCGGGTGAGGGGGCGCGGGGCGCTTCCGGCACGGGGGGCACCGGCGGGGCCGTGCGGGGCCCGGGGGGGCACCGAGGCGCTGTGGGTCTGCCCGGGGCGGGGACCGGCCCCTTGGGAAGGGTGCCCGTGCGCGGGGAGGTGCCGGGGCCGTGCCGGGGGTGGGGAGCGCCGGGAGGAGCTCTGCCGGGGTAGGGGGGTCCCCCTCGGTGTCCTCCCCCCGCGGTCTCACCGCGCTCCTTCGCCGCCGCAGGGAACCAGGAGCGCGGCTGGAACGACCCCCCCCAGTTCTCGTACGGGCTGCAGGCGCAGGCCGGGGGCTCCCGCCGGACGCCGCTCACCCGCCGGGCACCCCCCCCGCCCGAGGGGACACCCCCAGGTCAGCACCGCCCGAGCCCCCCGCCCGCCCCTCGGCCCCGCCCGGAGCCCCGGGGGCCGCTCCCCGCTTGGACCCGGTGTGCGGGGCCCCGGGCCGGGCTGACGGGCCCCGCGCCGCCGCCTCTGCCCCGCAGGTGCCCCCCCGGCCCCGGGCAGTGCCCCCGCAGACCCCTCCGCGCCGCCCCCCCGGGCGCTGGGGCCGCCCCCGCTGGGGCCCGTGGGCGCTGCCCCGCGGGCCGAGCCGCGGCAGTGCCCGGAGGAGCGGGAGTGCAGCGTGTCCGCCGACACCGTGCTCGCCCCGCTGCGGGCTGCCCTGGACTCCTGCCGGCCCTCGGTGCAGGTGAGCCCGGGCCCCTCCCGCCGCCTCGGGCCCCGCGGTGCGGGGACTGCCCGTCCCCGGGGCACCTGAGGGGTGGGGAGAGCCGCCTCTGCCCCGGGCGCTGCTCAGAGCTGGTGGGGGCAGATCCCAGCTCACCTCTGCTTCCAGAAACAAGTGTGCAATGACATCGGGCGGCGGCTGACAGTGCTGGAGGACGCGTGGGCTCAGGGGAAGCTGTCCGCACCGGTGAGGAAGAGGATGAACCTCCTGGTGGAAGGTACGGGGCGGGGGGGCTGCAGCCGGGCCAGCGGCGGGCCCTGCGTCAGGGGCACCCGTGGGAAGGTGGGTCCTGCACTCCCTGACAGGTTCCCTTGTCCTGGCAGAGCTCCAGCAGCAGCACTGGGACGCGGCTGACGAGATCCACCGCTCGCTCATGGTGGACCACGTGAACGAGGTGAGCCAGTGGATGGTGGGCGTCAAGCGCCTCATCGCAGAGACGCGGAACCTGCCCGACACAGCGACCGACGGCAGCGCCGAGACCGAGCCTAAGACTGAGACCGAGCCTGTAACCGAGACCGAGCCGGGCCAGGAGGAGCCCTGAAAGCGGGGGCGGGGCTGTGGACTGTGAGCGGGGCAGCCCCTGCCCAGGGCCGCCGGCAGGAGCAAGGCCCCTGCTGCCAGAGGGAGTCGGGGCACCCCCTCTGCCTCCCAATCCTCATCCAGGAACAGGGGATTTTAATCATTGCGACATTTTAGTGGCGATTCATTATGTTTAATAAACAACACCAACCTGCCCCTGGCCACAGTCTGCCTGAGGGTTCTGGCACTGGCGGGTCCTGGGGCTCTCAGGGGCTGGGTGAGGCCACGGCTGCTTTGTCAGGCTTGGCCAAGGGGCTGCAGCCTTGGCAGGGTGCTCCCAGCCAGCAGGATGTGAAGGGAAGAAACCAGCAGCACTTGGCTGGAGCAGGCAGTGCTCTGTGTCACTGTGGCACTGGCTGGCAAAGCCTGGCCCTTCTGGCCTCACCTTTGGCCACGGGGTGCCTACAGCAGTCCCAGCTCTGCTGCAGGAGCGATCCAGGCTGGTTGGGGAGGGCAATGTGCCAGCAGTCCCCAGCTGGTCAGCATGGCCAGGGTTTGTGCTGCAGCTACAGCCCCTGCTCCCATCTGGGCTCCTGCCCTCCCGGCAGTTCAGACTAGAGTTTGGAACCCAAGAGGTGTGGCCTCAAGGACAGGGAGGGCCAGGGGACAAACACATGCCCACACTCAGGTGTTGACTGTGCTGTTCCCACCACAGCTGGGAACAGAGCCCCAGGCCTCCACCACCCCCTGCCTGCAGTGTCACCCTCTGCACCCTACTGGTGCTGCTCAGCCCCCTCCCCGGGGGTGTGAGGACCCCACTGAGCCCTGACAGACACACACCAGCTCAGCACAGGGGTTTCACGGTGTTTATTGATCAAGCATGAGCTCCTAGGCAATTGCACCAGCCACTTGTGCTAGAGCCTGAGGTGTCACACGTCCATCCCCAGCATCAGAGAGGGCTGCAGCCAGCTGGTCACGGTGCCAGCACCTCCACGAGGCCCAGGAACAGGCCCAGCCATGGCCTGGAGATGGGGAGCTGCAAACTCAGATGTCCATCTCAAACTGGTCTTGATCTGCAAAGGGCATGGAGGGACACAGGGCCAGGGTTAGGATGGGGCTGCCCTGGGAGACACGTGTAGGCCAAGGGGTCAGGAGCTGGAACTGGGGCTGGGCTGGGTTCTCCCCTTACCCCATGGCCAGGCAGGAGCCCCGTGCCCCAGGCAGGTGGCCCATGGGTGGGGCCACGTGCCTGGGCTGCTCACCTGGCATGGCCTCTTCGCTCTCATTCCGCTCCTTGAGCTCCTCCAGCTTGACGAGGCTGGACTGGGCCAGGGATGTGACACCGGGGGTCTGGGGCAGGCAGCAGGGAGGGGTCCTGGCCGCGGGTGAATTCTTGCACTCCAGCAGGAACTTGCGGTCGCAGATGATGCGGGTACCTGCCAAAAGCAGGGGCTGTCAGGCACCGCTGGCCACAGCCACCCCCTGCCCTGAGCATCACACCCAGAGCAGGGGGTGGGACCCAGAGCTCGGCCATGGCTTAGGGACACATCTGGCTCTGGGGCCAACACAGTGCTTCCCACAGGGCAGCCCGTGACACCCGTCCTGCCTGGCAGCTCTTGCCCACATTGTTCCTGCCCTTGAGGCTCCTGGAGCTCTGCAGGGCTCAGCACAGGGGGTCCAGCCTCCACAGGTCTGGCCATCCCTGGAGGGCAGGGCCAGCCCGGGGCACACAGCTTAGCCCAAACCTGAAGGCCAGGCAGCTGCAGCTCCCTGCCCAAGGCTGAGCAGCAAAGGCTGGGTGTCCCACAGGGGTACCCTGGGGACCCTCCCATCAGCTCATCCAGCCACCCGCTGCCCCCTGCACAAGGGCAGCAGCTGGGTTTGATGGGACACCTCCTCCTCCAGCCTGCCAGGTGTGCAGTGCCCACCTGGGGCCCACACTACCTCCCCCCCCGCCCCACCTGCCTGCCAGCAACGCCCGAGGTCACATCAGCCCATGTGCCACATCTGCTGCCCTGCCGTCCCCTGCCCGGCCATCCCTGCAGCCGAGCACCTGCTCCCTGCCAGGCTCCAGCAGAGGAGCTGCCCAGGGTTCCAGGGAGCCTGGAGCTGCTGCCTGAGGTGCCAGGGAGCCCAGAGCTCCTGCTTGGCACCGCAAACACGTTGCACAGCCTACGCCTGCCATGGCCCCACAGCACCGGCCTGGGCTCCTCCACACCAGAGCAGCTTAATCGAAGGCACGTGATGGAACCAGGGCCCACGGGGTGGGCACCTGTGGCTCAACCCAAACATGCCCAGCTCACACACTTCCCTGAGGACACACAGCAAAGACCTGCTCAATAGCTGACCCCAGGGGCTTTGGTGGGGGGTCAGAAGGGGCAGGAGGGCAGGGGAGGGCTCTGCCACCCGGGGCTGCTGAACTCAGGTGGGAGCAGGTTCTCATGTTAGCCCCTGTGCCTCCCCCTGAGCCAGCCAGCCCCGAGGGACCAGCCCTGCACCCACCAGCCCAGTGGCACTGCCACCAGCCCACTCCCCAGCCCCTGCCTGTGCCCCCGTGTACCACAGGGCAATGATGGCCCGAACTTCAAGCAGGATCTTCCTACAAAACTTCGGGGTTCCCTTTTCCACTTCAGCTCTGGGCTGCCACCACCCCATGGGCCTGCCTGGATCCAGTGGCCACAGCAGATGCCCGTGTTCCCAAGGACAGAGCTGCACAGGGAGAGCCCAGCAAGGGAGAGAGCTGCCCACATGAGGCAGGGCTGGGGTGGCCCAGGGCATTCCAGGGACAGCCCTGTCCCCATGCTGGGTCGACAGTGGCTCCCTGGGATGGGGCAGGACATGGCAGTGCTTTGCTGCAGCCAGGGAGCCCACAAGAGTCAGCACCCCACCCCTCTCCTGCACCTCACCCTGCACCACAACACCACTGCTTTTCAATACAACTGCTGTTAAAACACATGGCAGAGGGTTGGACTGGCTGATCTTTAAGGTCCTTTCGAACCCAAACTCTTCTCTGACTGATTCTATGTGTTTCTCCTTAGGTGTATGTACTGTCAGCGGGCAGCAGCACTTCTAATTTATTTTGCACTCCTCCTCAAATAACAGGAAAGATATCTGAATATACCATCCAGCAGTGCTTCTGAGGTTGATCTGCCTGGGGTACTCAGATACTGCTTGTGCACTGTGGTTTTTAAGTACTTCCTCATGCTTTTCCTGGGGAAATTCTGCTGCTGCATGTAAGGATTTGTCTGGATAAGGTGGGGAAAGGTGAAGTCTCCATCACTGAGAGTGGTCCTTTAGATTAGACATTATGTGCACTGTAGCTCCCTGCTTAAGGAATGGACCCAACATTCCGTGTGGTTACTGCGCTGCCTTGGAGCAAAAGCAGAAATAAGCACAGTTCAAGAACAGAAAGTGGGGAACTGGGTCAGGAATTAACGTTCATCTTAAGCAGAGTGCAAAAATCCTCCTCTTCTTCACAGAAAAGACTTTGAGGAGCTCTTACCAGATTTAAAGCATTACAAGAAGCTTAGAACTGAATCTGTTAGGTTTTCCTTCAGAGGGAAACACTTAGTTCCCAAGATCTGCTTCTGGGCAGCTGGTGAAGGAACCCTGCATTTCCCTGCCACTGCTGTCAGCCCTTACTTGCAGCCCTGAGCAAAACCTCATCTCTTGGGTGACCCACCTGCAAAAGGAGTGCTGGAAGCAGCAGAACTAATCCAGAAGGGCAAAAAGGTAACACAGAAGCAGGTTCACACCAATAAAAGGCTCACAATTGGCAAGGGGAAGGGCTCTGCAGACATCAATCACAGACACCTGCGGCTCCAAACCCTCCCAAATCCTGGCTGCACCCACCTGCTCCGAATGTGGCCCTGGGATGTGTCACCAGGCACGGGAGCAGCTACCGAGGACAACAACATCCATCCCTTTCCCAAATTCTCACACACAACCTATAAATGCTGTTTGCCTTTTATTGAGTATTCAGGTAAATATTTCACATTAATACAGGCTACATAAAGTAGAGCCACTATACGACATGAAATTTACTCAGCTTTTCCTTTTAAGTCTGTAAACAATTATACAGGTATTTACCACCCTAAAAGGTTGAAATCGTGTCATCAGCTAAGTTCTCTGCTGCGTACAAGGAGCAGTCAGTAGTGTTTAGCCAAAAGCACTAGTTTTGTCTGATTTTTTAAGTTTAAAGTGGCTAAACTAACTGGAGAACAGAATCAGTTTGTATAGGTAAGTCAGTTTGTTGTTATACAACGGGCAATCAAGTTTCCATTGTTACAGCCCACAGAAAATCACTTAGGCACATGAAAAAAATCCCCAGGGTTCTTCAAGGTCATAAAGATTCCCAAACCAGGCTAAAACAAGGACAAGACCCCCTTAAATCAGTTGACGTACTTGAGATGCATGTTTCCAATGTGAGGTGCCCAGGTGCCAGGCCAAATCTACAGCGAGAAATAAAAAGACAAATCTATTATGAAAACAAATAAAGGTTCCTTTAACAGTGTTTAACCACTGAGGGCGAGCGTAAGGCTTCCCCCAAAATACAACCAGACTGTCCAAAGGCAGGAGCTCTCCAGCTCCAGCCAAGGTCTGACTGACAACCTGCAAGGTGCTGAGCACAGATATAAACCCTCTCACGTGTAACAGTCCATTACCTGGCTGAGCAGTCTTGAAATGCTGCTTGTTTTACCTGGAAGGTTTGGTACTGACAGCTCCATGGGTATTTTATGAACACACACACACACACACACACACACACACATAGAGCAGGGAAAAGCCATGCAAACAATCTCAATTCTAGTTTCAAAGAACTGAAAAAAACCCCAAACATGCCACCAATCCAAAAACGGGTGTCACACCACCGTATAAAGCCCCGGGCAAGCACAGGTGGGAAAAGGCAGCCACACTACCTGCTGAGCATCAGTACATTCTGTTGAGTTCTGGACAACTTTGATCATGGGGTTCCAGGCGGGATCTGGAGTATGGAGCCCGTTAAAGAGGGGCCCTCCTGGGCCATCTGCCAGCTGGGGGTGCGAGGGGATCAGGGTGCCGCCGTACATGGAGATGGGCAGGCCCTGAGGGGACAAGAGAGCACTCGGTGAAGGGTGGCTGTAGGACCACGTCTGCCCAGGTGACAGAGGCAGGTCACATCCATACACCGGGGAGGGAACTGTGAGGGAACACCAGGGCAGAGTGCGGGACATGGTGA